CTTCACTGATGATGTACATACCAAGCTAACTATATGTGTTGTATGTCTGCAGGACCATCAGCTACGTATATAGTCTTACCAATATATAGAACAATTAGACATCAGCTGAGCCCGCAATATGCGGATGCCAATATATGGTCGCGTTCGAGGTACCCATACAGTCATCAGATAGAAATGAGAGCATGCAACATTATTCATTAACGGAGAGGATATCATAACGACAGGAATAGGCAGACATCAAACGTCCTTTGCTATACGATAACGGCGCGGCAGAATATTACTCAGTCCCAACGGAGGTCCTGCTGAAGGACACTCATCCACTGAGGGATAGCGACGCTCCGACCGACCTCCATGACGTCGGAAGCAGCAACAACATCGCGCAGCGGGATGCTGTCAGTGCTGCCTCGGAAGTCGCCCATATCAGCTTGCATAATCAATCCCATTCACTGGGTTGCACCCGCGCCTACTTCACCTTAGTTCGGCCTAGCTAATCACACATACATTAAGGTTAAAGTAGGCGTTGGAGTATCTTCGCCTACGTTCGTCTTTGTTTGTCTACGCGGAGCAGTCGAATACAAAACCGCGCATGCCTTCAGACGTTAGAATAGATGGGAGTATATGAACTACATATGTCATGGGGTGATCTGGGCTTGCATCGGCCTAGAACGCTCATTTCTCGGTCTACTCAAACGTCAGATTCACTCAGATAGAAGCACGTAAGAATAGATCGAATTAGATTGGGTGATCTACGCTACGTCACGGGACTGATATCCCGACGCGTCCCCGACCCGCGCGTTGCTCCTGCGCTCTGCTCCTGCACGTTGCTCCTGCTCCCTCGTTCCATCACGCCCTCTTGTCCGTACGCTGCTCGACGTCGCTGCTCGTGATCGAGATTTCATCACATCCGTCAATCCCTCGAACTCCCTAGTCGTCTTGATGCAAAACCAGTTGCCGCCAGCTCATACGTTGAGCCTTGCACGACCGATGGGCCTCACGATCACCGATGACGCCTGGGAAAGGTGGCCCGATGAGATGAAAATACGCACGTATGAGGACATGGGCCTCTATACGTTCCCTGTAATTCAAGACCAGACGAATGGGTCAGTAAAAGGCTGATAAAAAGCGCATATACTCACCGATAGTTTACAGACAAAATCCAGGCCTCCCAACCCCGTCGAGCGCGATCGAACCAGCCCAGGACATCTCCAGCCAAATAGCCGCATTGTCCAATCGTTTTGAAGCGCGCATGAGCGCCCTTGAAGCCAGTCGAGCGGCGCAGACCAATGGCGGGGCAGTCGAAAGCGCCCTACAAACTGGAGGAGGTCAAAAGGGGGTGAGAGGAGGCAAAGGGGGACGGGGCACTCACCGAAGCCGTGGTCGTGGTGGCGTTCGTGGCCGTGGACGCACTCGTACTCCGGCTTCACAGAACGATGCCGAGCTGCGAGCCGATAAGTATGATGACGATGCGGAGGATGTGTGTACCAAACCGAAGGATATAACGGAGGAAGCAACGGCGAAGGCTCGAAAGGCTCTTGTAGTGAGTTTTGTCAGCGTTTACTCGACAGAAATGAACAACTGCGCACCTAGGACCTCCTCGCTCCGGCTTTTCGCCTCGTGTGTGGTGTTTCGTTCGGGCAACAGTGGCCTGATCCCACCATCCTTCGCATCAACTCCACCACTGAAGCGGCGTATGTGTCACCGTTTTTCGAGGCTAACGTTGACGATCCTCGTAACGAGGCTGTCACAAAGGCTGTCGCACAATCTGTGTGGGACGATCTCTCTGAGGTGAGCGCATATACTCCATAGTTTGAAGCGTACTAAATCATACCTTGGTAGCCCGACAGCATCCCCGAAATCCTGCTCAGTCGCCGTGTAAAATGGAGCAAATTGAGCCTTCAGACACTTGCAAAGGGGACTTTCCGCGGAATGAGGAGTGAATGGCGTCGTCAGAATGATGATGGAGCGGCTAGGAGGGCCGAAGTGAGCAAACAACGCAACCGGCACTATAGTCGTCGAGTTGAAGTGAGTCCTGTCCTCCGGCCATAGCGCTGATGTACTTACCATGGATTTTAGAAAGCAGAGAATCGTCTGAAGGCTTGTGGTGACTATGCGAAGCAGAACGACGAGAAAGACGCGAGTGAAACCTTACATCAAGAGTATATGTCGGACGAGGTTTCAGGCCCCGAAGATGGCTCTGATGAGACCCCAGCGCAGTGGAAGGTTCGTATGGCGGAGCTGGCTGGCATGCAGACGTCTGGGACCGTGTTCGAGCAGACGAGCTTCCTTGAGGTCTTGACGTGTGAGTGGAAAAGCGAAGAGGTTAGTGCACAGTCAGTACATGCACAAGACAGCTTACCCACAGTGCACAGGGACGAACACTGCACCATACCCTAACGTCAATCTGGCGCTCGTCGCTGTCACCCAAGGAGAAACAGAACATTGACAAAGTCAGAGTCCCAAGCGCTCGCAGTTCAAGCCGAATTCCGGAACGCGCACCCTGGAACTTCATGATCTATATGGCATGGGTTGTCAACAAGCGCCAGGATGCCCACATTGCGGAGTTGTACGGTCTTCAGCACTGGGGTCGGTGGGGCAACCCCGTCGGCATGAAGATCCTGATCGCAGCTACTGAGAGCGAGCCCGCGGTGGGTGTACAAGAGATTGGCGGGGGGGCTGAAAACAACGGCGAAGCGGGCGAGGGAAACACTGGGAACGTTGGCGAGGTGAGCAGAGCAATTGCTGGGACTGGAGAGGGGAGCAACGTAGCAAATAGCGAGGGAAGTGCGTAAAGCGCACAGCAAAGCGTTGAGAATGGGTAGGTCAGTGATATTCCGAGCTCGCGAACAAAAACGCACCACACGATTCTCGAACTTCATGTTTTTGGGTGCTAAGCGAATGTACATCAGTACGCGTATTAGCAGTTGTAGTGTCATGCTTACCCTGTCGAGTGGCGTTGTGATCCACATAGGTGGATCCGTAGTTTCTATAACTCCGCGAGCGATTGCGCAGGTGATGGAATCGAAAGGAATGATAGGTGGAAATGTGGCCAGGGAATGGTAGACGCCAAGCTCAAAGCATCTAACATCAAGCTCAGGGCTAATGTGGCATAATCAATGGAGCGGTAGTAAATGTATAAAACTCTACAGACTCACAAGTCACTCCATGGGTCATCACGCACCGGGGAGAGATCAAGCTCCCTCATCCACCGGATTTCTGCAAATAGACGACTAGTCACCACTGAGGGAGGCGCGTTGTTCTGCCTGTGAGAAAAGATAGAAACAACTTCGCCGTATATTCCAACGGCACTCGGGAGATTAACCTTCACCAGCGCTGATGCAGCTGATTGTCGGCGAGCTTCGGAAGTGGGGATAATCCGACGACCGTCAAGGAGGGCATAATGATAGAGTGTGCAAAAGCGATCAAGTGTGAGGGCATCTGGTACTGCGTTTACCTGCCGAGCAACTGCAAAGGACAAACTAAGACCCGCAGCCTGAGCAGCCGCATTGTAGTAATTGCGCATGTAGGCTAGGGCTGGATCACTCAGCGTTGGACGTTTGCGTGGATCGCTGATAACAACCTGACTGCCAGGTTCTACACGCGTGCCAGATGCAAGCTCTATACAACATCCGCTGTTGCATCAGGCAAGAGTATAGTAGGATTGAAAGCGACACACCGTCAGACACAACCGCATCACGTAGTGTTCCAGCACCTTCGGGCTCATCGCTAACCATGTACTGCATGACCGATCGCACAATGTCATTCTCCGCGTGCGCAGCCGCAGAATGAATCTATGAAAGTTGGTATAGTAGGCAAGAGAAAAACCAACAAAACTCACCAATGAATGGATACGAGATGAGCGTGTAAACTCGCGCATCATAGTTATCTCAACCTGACCACCTGTCCAATTGTTAACATTCTGACTCTTCAATACCTTGTTCAGGCGTTCTGAAAGAAACGCCCAGAAGTTATACACAGGCCCATAATCAAGGATCTGATCGGACAAGTGAGTTGCCCAATGGAAGTTTGGCTTGAGGGCTTCAACGCCGTGAATCTTGACGCATCATTAGTGCACACAGCTCATGAGATTTCAGAAACACTCACTTGTCGGTACAAAATAAGGTAATCTTGAAGCAGAGACGTCGCACGAGGCAGAAGCGATAACTCAACAGAACTCCCGCAGAAGATCTTGAGCGACGCTGCAAGCCGCAGAAAGTTGAGGGACTCGTCTGGGTGCATACGCACCTTTGGCTGAGTGGGTTCATCTGGCTCTGGGTCATCACTACTCTCCTGTCCCTTCTTTCGCGTGCGAGTTGATGCTGAGCTGGTCGACTGACGCCCCTGCCAAGCCTCCCATTTGGCCTGCCACTCCATGTGCTGTGCAGGAAAAGCTGCGAGAGCGGCTTCTTGGTCGCGTGTGGCTTCATCGACAAATGCGTCCCAAACAACGGGAATCTCAAAGAAAACCTTAGGAAGACAACAAAATAAACAGTGAATATTCTTACAATGATCGCCCAGGCGGTAGTGGTTGCGAGTTTGTACTCATCAGCTGTCAAGCTGCCGCCTGCCGTTTCTCCTACACGATTGGGGAGCTTGCCCATCCATACAGGTGTTTCAAACTATAGCCAAGCATGCGTAGCTCAGCAAAAATGTATGGTGAAATAGGATACTGTACTCACCGTTGCAAGGAATTTGTGAATGATGCCAAGTTCACGATTGAGCGTCTTGGTGGATGCTCGGATGACCGAAGTCTTGATCCACCGATAGTACCATTGATCTCGTGCGATTCCTGGGAGGCATTGTAAGCGGGGCGCTATCAAGGAAGTAAAAGCATACCGAGGAGTAAATTGTGCATGGGGTCAATAACAGAGTGGCGCACAAGGTCAAAGTATGGTAGCCGAGCCAGCTCGGACCAACGGGAGCCATGATCCTTGAAGTGTTGGTTTCGATCCTTTGTGTTGTCTATTCCACGCCATTCATTCATGCGATGCCGATGCTCGTCATGAGTTCGAGGCGGAAATTCTGTATGAAGGCAAGTGAGACAAAAGCAGAATACCTATTATAGGAAGACGTACGGTTACGGAGGCCACGGTCTGTGAACATTTCTGTCTTCTTTGCCTTACACTTTGGACACGGCGCCTCGTCATGGGCATGGTCCGCGAAGCCACTAACCTTGCACAATGCTGGATGATCACAGATGACTGCCAATAAGACAACACGTATGCGTCGGCCTGCATAACTATGACTCAGTCTGACTAGGACTAGGCTTCAATATATGATCTTACCTTCGGGGGAATCTGGTGTGATATAGACGACGCCGTCAGTGAAGAGTGTTAACAAATCGTCTACAACAAGCTTCATATAGTGCTGCAGCTCTTCCCCTGTTGGTTCTCGTGGGCCTGGGGTCATGAACGAAACAAGGAGGTTGCTCGCCCGATAACTGTGGCCCAATAACGTGAGTGCACAAGGCAGATCAGCTGCATATTGGAAACTAACCGCTTGCTCCGTGGTAAATTGGATATGCAGATGGACAGGACACCCGATGAATGACTGGGACCATAAACACTTGATTTACGGCCAAACCTACACCGTATTATGTGAGTGAATCGGACGTTAACTACTCAAATGTATGTACGTACCAGTCAAGGCTTATGGTGATCCCAAGGCGAAGCTCACCTTGGTCGCCACCCGTCCTGGAGAAGAATGGTGTATCGTCAGGCGCCTTGGCTTCGTTCCAAACACGGCCATCGCTGATGTCATGCAGCTGATCAGTGGCCGGCTGGCGAGTCTTCCACAACTCGCAAGCAGCCTCATTGCCAGGTTGAGCAAGAAAATCAGCGAATAAGTGTGATGGAAGTTGAAAGGGAGCAGCACAAACTGGAGGAGGAGGTTTCGCAGGCTGACCAGTGATCCGTCGGAAGATAGAGTTGGATACTGGCTTGTATAGGCGTTTATCACATGCAGGGCAGACAGCGTTGACTGGTGTTGACGTTGGGAAGAGACGATGGCAGCCCGCGCATATCGGGAAGACAGTAAAGCGATCTTGAAGATCTAGTTTGCGAATCACCGTATTCAGAGTTTGAGGGAAATCGTTGTCGTCGGTCTCGATGACCTCAAGTGTCCGGAGTATGGGGACGCAGCAGTGAAGTAGTAGATTGCATGCTCGAAACGGAAGGTGGTGTTTGGCGTTTAGGAATGCGACCAGGAAGATGAAAAGGCGGGCAACCCATGATGTGTGAGCACCAAGGTAAACAGCTCTAGGGTCGATTGGGGGATCGTACCGCGGGGGTGTGTCCAACGCGAGTGTAGGAGGAGGGGGCATGGCATTGGTGGGTCGAGTGGTGTCTTCTACGGGCTCGCCGTTTTCGCCAACAGCCTGAGTGTGCAGTAGGGGGTTGTTGTGGATGTCTTCGCCTCCATCTGAATCGTCGTACAGCCCAAGGCCGTCATCTGCCAGCGGCTGAGCAACCCTTGGCGCTGGCAGAGCATCAATGTCGTCGTCTGAATCATAGCCTATGGGAGCTGCGCGTACACGCGCAGCCCGACGTGTGCGTTTAGGCCGTGTACCCGATGTAGACGTTGAATGAGAGGCTCGCGAACGAGCGGCAGTGGAGGGTACCTGCACAGCCATGTGGTCTCGAGGCTCTGAGTCTCTCGACAGCTGGAGCGAGAGGGGTTGCATTGTAGAGGGAGGGGGCCGAGGTGATGTACAAGGTGGAGATGTCGGTGGAGGAGAGAACGTCGGCGGGGTGAACGGCCGAATATCCGTCATGCCTTCGCCGTCTGAAGTATCCATCGGACTAGAGTGTATAGGTTAGCCGCTGCGAACCCGAAAACAAGTGTGAAAGCACACCTTGGTAAACGAGGGGCGGCCGAGCTGCTCGGCATTGTCTGAGGCGAGAGGTGCGAGACCACAACGGGTATTGGCACTCGTACCGGCGGGATCATGCCTCGTGAGGGTGGAACTGTACCCCGTGGGGGTACTACTCGTCCTCGTCCTCGTGGTTGTGTGATAGAGCCCGCCGGGGATGAACGACCACGTGTAGTCGAGCGAACGTTGTGTGATGCGGCACGCACTGTCGTAGCCCGCATTGACGCTATTGAGGGGTTGTGGCCGCGATTGCTGATGGCGGAGGTCGCCTGAGTGATGCTCCGTTTGTGAGCCCGTTTTGTCGATTCGGGGACCCAGTCACCGCCTACGATCGGGTAGAGTCTCTGGCACGTGTGTTCGCAGTTGCACCAGAACAAGCCGCGATTTCGAAGGTCGTCCTGGGTGAACGTGTGAGCAAAGGCAATTGATGAGACGAGTGAGTATGAGACTTACCGAGCTCGATTCCATGGTCGATTCAAGGTGGATGGGGAGTAGAAACGAAGAGAATAGAACAGAGGGAATGAGGGGGAGGAGATGGGGAGGAAGGAAAGAAAGAAACAGCGCTCGTTGAGCGACGCCGAACACTTAAGTCTCATTGCAGGCTCTATGCAAGAGGCCCGAGCGCTCCGAGTCGGGCGAGGTGGTGGCTTGGGCTATACTCACCTGTGCCCAAACCACCCATTCAAGCTCTTAGTGTAGCCCGACTGTTGCCCGATGAGAGCAAGATGGCATTGGCGTGTAAACAAGATACACGAGGTGGGAAGCGCGTGAGCTACTCGAGGCGTAGAGAAGACCAGAAAGAGATGGTGGTTCTGATCGCAAAGAAGCTGGCTACTCGAAGCCGGCGGCTAGATGCGGGGAACCGAGCTACAATAATCGTGAGAACCACAAGCTACAATAAGCGTGTGAGTGGATTAAGCTGGCTGACTGTAGGCTCGATACTCACGGTGAGACCAGACACGGGCGAAACGCAGT